CTTCAGGGTCCGGCAAAAGAAATACATCATGACATACTTCATGCAGTGTATTTATTCAAAGGTCGCCTATTATACTCTTTTTCAACAATATATTACAGGTATCAGATATATACAGAGCCTGTCTCTGATTGGCTGAAACACCAAACAGATCATTGCAGCATTACCCATAATCCCCTCTGGTTCAGCCCTGTTTCCAAAGTGCTGATTCTCTGTCTGTTACTTTAGATGAAAATAAGGAGCCCCTCCCCACGCCCCTCTGAGGCCCCGCTCACACGGGACCGTTTGCGTTTATGCACAGTATGCGTATTCAAAAAAGTCTTCCGTTCACATGCATTTGTTTCATTTAACGTGTCTGTTTAAACGAGGCCGCTGGAAACGCTGTAGTACATATGCTGGGACTGTAAGTGGCGCTGTAACTTCCGCCAAAATACACCAAAAGCCGCGAAGAAGAGCAGCCCCGCAGCAATGTTGCCATGGCTACCCTTCTGTTTAAGCCCTGAAACTGAAACTGAAACTGAAAGAAACCGAATCTGTTGTTGCTGATGGTTGTGGTAGAGGAGCTGTATATTTTTGCACTAATATCTGTAGCATGGTCAGTAGCAGTAGCACTAGCAGTAGCTACTGACAGGAGGAAGTCAGTGTGTGTGGCGATTGCTGGTATTCAGCGGGATATAGTCATTTCCTCAGCATATGGATAAATGCAACGGGGAAGTTAACTGAAAGAAACCAAGAAGCACGTCTCTGTGGATATTGCATCGAGAGGACGGCTCAGAAAGAGAGATATTCTCTACAAACACCGGGTGAGATGCACCTTTGTCAATATAATGGATCAATGCATGAAATCTGACTCTGTTTATTTTGTTTAAGGAGTATATTGGGCGTTAACAATTCTGGTTTGCCTTTTATAATATTATTTCATTCAAGAACCCCTTGTGCGTTAATTAACACAGCTATTTTTGATAGTTGCTAGTACAGCAGTGAGCAGGAGAGGTGGGGAGAGGTGGGGCTATCCTATTTTTCCAGGAAATATTCGTATCGAGGTGATTACACGGACTCGGTTGACCCCCCAGAGCGTTTCGTTTGCAAATCTATCCACCTTGGGACCCGTTATTGTTTGTGGGGTCAGTTTCTATCGGCCTCGTGTAAATAATAGGGCTATACGCACGCGAAAACTATGCAGATACAAGCAGTTTTCTCCTCGTGTAAACGGCGCCTGAGAGAGATTTGGTTAAAAGAACTCAATGGTGCTCTAGGAGGAGATTCAGGTGATAAGGGGGGGGGGGGGGGGGACCTTGGTTGGTGATTGGCTAATGGTTACACAAGCCAAAACATTGTTATGACATCATAAAGTGGCCAAAATCTGATCAGCTCATTTTCAGACAGGTTTTTATATAAATGGATCAGGACAAAAAGAGAGAGAATCTTTGTTCCTGAGACTTTCAGAGTCCCTTTACACAGAGGGGACACATGTTTAGAAAAGGGGACACATGTTGATGTAGAAGAGACATGAAGAAGAGGGGACACATGTTGATGTAGAAGAGACATGAAGAAGAGGGGACACATGTTGATGTAGAAGAGACATGAAGAAGAGGGGACACATGTTGATGTAGAAGAGACATGGAGAAAAGGGGACACATGTTGATGTAGAAGAGACGTGAAAAAGTGGATTTTGCACAATAGGGGACCTTTAAGCACAGCACTTTTATTGATTCATAGGAGTGAAACTGACTTGACGAACAGACACTCCTCCTTGTCGATGAAAACGGTGACGGAGCTGCCGGCGTCCACGTGTCGACCCGTCACCGTCAGACGGGTTCCCCCAGAAACAGGTCCTTTCTCTGGGCGCAGCCGAGTGAAACTGGGGCTCTGGAGGAGGAGGAGGAGGACAGGTTAGTAAGCAAATATTGTTTATTGGTATCCTACTGGAGAAGAGTGAAGTGCCAGTGACCATAGTGAAAAAAGTAAATAAAAGTTTAAAAAAAGACGTCTCCCCTTTCTTTTGCACACGCTCAAACACTTGGACACACACTGAAACACATACATGCATGTTTTGCTATACTTGTGAGGACCAAGACACGATAGTATGTTGTAAAAAAAAACGTTTTGCTGTGCACACTCAAACACACACTAAACACCAGAGATGACAAAAAGTACACACATCTTTACTCGAGTAGAAGTACAGATACTCGTGTTTAAAAATACTCTGGTAAAAGTAGAAGTACTGACTAAACTTCTTACTCAAGTAAAAGTAAAGAGGGCTTTGAAATGTACTTCAGTAGAAAGTACCCATAACTAGCAGCTGTTTTAAAGAGTACCTGACCTCCCTTTATATTAATAGAACAATAATGTCATTGTTAGCTAAGGAATGTTTCCATGCTGAACGACGGCAACATGACAACGTTTTCATTGGTCCCTCTTCTTTAGAGAAGACCAGGAAATGATGGATACACGGATCGTGTTCAAATCAATAGGCACGCAATGACTCTAAATAATAATGATCACGCCACCAAACACACATTCAAACTAAAGGAACCAGCCTGTTTGGGAAATGTGAGAAGTAGAAAGTACAGGTATTTGTGTTCAACATGTAAGAAGTAGAAAGTACAGGTATTTGTGTTCAAAATGTAAGAAGTAGAAAGTACAGGTATTTGTGTTCAAAATGTAAGAAGTAGAAAGTACAGGTATTTGTGTTCAACATGTAAGAAGTAGAAAGTACAGGTATTAGTGTTCAACATGTAAGAAGTAGAAAGTACAGGTATTTGGGTTCAACATGTAAGAAGTAGAAAGTACAGGTATTTGTGTTCAACATGTAAGAAGTAGAAAGTACAGGTATTTGTGTTCAAAATGTAAGAAGTAGAAAGTACAGGTATTTGTGTTCAAAATGTAAGAAGTAGAAAGTACAGGTATTTGTGTTCAACATGTAAGAAGTAGAAAGTACAGGTATTAGTGTTCAACATGTAAGAAGTAGAAAGTACAGGTATTTGTGTTCAAAATGTAAGAAGTAGAAAGTACAGGTATTAGTGTTCAACATGTAAGAAGTAGAAAGTACAGGTATTAGTGTTCAACATGTAAGAAGTAGAAAGTACAGGTATTTGTGTTCAAAATGTAAGAAGTAGAAAGTACAGGTATTTGTGTTCAAAATGTAAGAAGTAGAAAGTACAGGTATTTGTGTTCAACATGTAAGAAGTCAAAGTAAAAAGTCCACAGAAAAGTAAGTAGTGGAGTGAAGTACTGATACCAGAAAAATGTACTTGAGTACAGTAATGAAGTATTTGTACTCGACTACTTCCCACCTCTGCTTAACACACACTCACCACGAAGGAGTATGTCTGGGTGGAGAGGGTTCTGTACTCGGCGCTGCAGACCCCGATGCAGAGCTCCACCGGACCTCCAGGGGAGTGAGGGAGGAGAGCTTCAGCCATATCACACACAATCCTGCAGAGAGAGAGGGGGAGAGAGAGGGGGAAAGAGAGGGGGAAAGAGAGGGGGGGAGAGAGGGGGGAGAGAGGGGGAGTCAACACACACCTCTCACAACACACTCACACACTCAATCCATCAAACTTTATTTATTTATATAGCACATTTAAAACAACCTCAGTTGACCAAAGTGCTGTAGGCCCTACAGGGAACAAATACAATATAAAATAACACAATAGGAGTAAAATAATAAAACAATAATTAAAAACAAGATGAAAAGCACAATAACTAGAAACATATAAAAACACATACACATGTCAAAATGTTCAACTAATATTAAAAGCCAGTGCAAAGAGGTGAGTCACACACTGACCTCTCACTAACACCCCCTCACACACACTGACCCCTCACACACACTGACCTCTCTGCGCTGATGTACTGCGAGGCCACGGGGTTGCAGCGGACTCCGGCCACCTGGACGTGAGCGATCTCCTTCACCTGCAGACCCAGGTTCTCGCCCTCGATGGTGACCCGCGTGCCCCCCTCCCGAGGCCCCGTCAGAGGGTCGATCTGTGGGGAGAGCAGGAGGAACATCTGATATTCATGTGTGATCGAACTGATGACTACGTGATAACAGAGCGGTGCGTGGAGGAGAGATTTCTGTAGGCCGACCATGGAGTATTTTTTTTTAATCGTGCATTAAGGTGAAAATGATTCTAACTTTTTTTTCGCAAAATCCTGTATTTTTTCTCAAACTCTCAAAATTCTTTCAAAAAAATCTCAACATTCAGAATTTTTTCAAAATATTTAGATTTTTTCTCAACATTTTGACTTCTTTCACACAATTCTAACTTTTTCCTCAAAATCTCAACATTCTGAATGTTTTCTCAAAATCCTTTTGTCAAATTTTGACTTTTTCTAAAAATGTTGACTATTTGGACATTTCTTAAATGATGTATTCTTTCACGAATTCTGACTTTTTTTAAATTGTATTCTGACTTTTTTTCTCAAAATCCTGTATTTGTTCTCATATTCTGAAAATTATAACTTTTTACAAAAAAATCACAAATTTTGACTTTTTCACAAAATTCTGACTATTTGAAAATTTCTCAAATTTTGTATTTTTTCTCAAATTTTGACTTTTTTCCCTAAAAAATCTGACTTTTTTTCTCAAAATCTCAACATTTTTCTCAAAATCTCAACATTTTTCTCATAGTTCTGACTTTTTCCTCAAACTGTTGACTTTTTCAAAAAATTTGGACTAATTGAAAATTTCTTAAATTATGTATTTCTTCTCGAATTTTTGACTTTTAAAAAAAAATCTGACTTTTTTTTAATACGAGAGGACATCAGTGCTGGTTGGATTCCCACCTTGGTGACGAGCATTAAAATACCTAAAGCTCAGAACTTATATTATGTGTCAAACCATAAACCAATTGAGAGGACATCAGTGCTGGTTGGATTCCCACCTTGGTGATGCGCGGGTGGCTGCAGCGCAGGTTGTGTCGGCCGTGGTGCATCCAGTTCTGCTCGGAGGCGGGGCAATGCTGCCGGAGGAGGCACTTCCTGCTATCCGTGCACCAGCCACACTCAAAGGAGGGCGGGGCCTTCAGACACTGACCACAGCTGGAGCGCTGGGCCTCACACTTATACAGCAGCGCTGAGGAAACAAGGGAAATATACAAGATTCAAATCTGTTCTAGAGGGGGCGAAAGTTTGGACACATACAGAAAAACATACGAAGGTCGGGGCCAATCATTAGGTATATTGCCTTATAGGTTAAGCTATAAGTTATCAAAATCACTCAAATGTAGGTCAATTATGCTTGCGTGTCGCCTGATGATGAGTTTATTTTTTTACCTTTCATAGACACAGGCTTATCGATGAAGAAGTCTCCGTCCCAGACGATGGAGAAATCCACCGGCAGGTCCCCGGACTCGTCGCCTTCATACCAATACTACAGATACAGAGAGAGAAAAACCATTTATATAATTAGACACTTTTCTAATTGGGAAGTGCTCGTTATGACCAGGCAGTCGAGAGACATGTTAATTAAAGAAGAGGAAGAAATAGCAGAGAAAAAAATATATCTGGTAATAGATTCTATTTTATAAAAAAACACACCAATATCCACAATAAATATGTGTGTGTTAGGTGTGAGGAGTGTTTTTACACTGTAGTATTGCTAGTTTGACTTTATTCAGGGTCTGAGTTCTCCATTAATGTCTAAAAACTGGTCATATTTTCAGGGCTAACAGAGAAAGGCTATTTTTGTACAGCTTATAATGAAGAAGAAAAGAACACTGATTATAAAGGAAAAACTCTGCTTTAAAGAAAAATTGATGGAAAACGCACGCACGCACACAGTGGTGTTGCCCTGGTGCCTGAAGATATCCATGGTAACCAACCAAAAGCAGTGAGAGAAACAACATAATGGATTTAGAGGAACCTGATCTACCTGCATGTCTCTGAGTGTCTAAACAGTGGGGTGTTAATGGAAGAAGGAATATAACTGTGAGTGTGTGCGTGTGCGTGTGTGTGTGTGTGTGGAATGAACAATAAAACTCATCTCCAAACACTGTTGAAAAGAAAGAGAAAAGGTTGCGCCCTGAGTATGTCACCTAGACTCGAATGGCACCAGATAATGTGACACACTCACACACACATGTACACACATGTACACACACACACATGTATATACACACACACACACACACACACACACACACACACACACACACATGTATATACACACACACACACACACACACACACACACACACACACACACACACACACACACACACACACACACACACACACACACACACACACACACACACACACACACACACACACACACACACACACACACACACACACACACACACACACACACACACACACACACACACACACACACACACACACACACACAGAGGAGAGAGTATAGTTGAGTTTTCTGAAAAATTGAAAATCAATGTGTCTTAATGACTCCAGTCTGCTCATTTCATTAACTTACTGCACACACACACTTTAAAAAACATACACTTCTAAACACACAAATTCACACATGTGCACACACACAGATTAATTAAGAGGTGGCTTTATTACCTTACTTCAGCAAAAACTGTAAAATTATATAGTACCACATCAGACACACACACAATTAACAGATTTCATTAAGTCAGAGCGGCTTCAGTTCTATATACCTTCCTCAGCAAAAAATACATCCAGCCCGAGTTTTACTGCTTTTCAGTTCATACGTACGTGTACACACACACACACGCACACACACACGCACGCACACACAGCTGTAATTAATAAGGCGTTGATATTAAAATGATCTTTTCTGCAGAGCTGCAAGAATGACCACATTTTTCATAAACCGGTGAGTGTGTGTGTGTGTGTGTGTGTCTGAGCGATGACCACACGACTGAAATATGTTGAATACCCCAACCAATCTAGAGAGAGATGTGTGTGTGTGTCTAATGCTCTGATTTTCCATTAAAAGAAGCCAGCTGAGCCCAACAGAGCGACATCATAAGTCAGGCTGACACACACACACACACACACACACACACACACACACACACACACACACACACACACACACACACACACACACACACACACACACACACACACACACACACACACACACACACACACACACACACACACACACACACACACACACACACACACACACACACACACACACACACACACACACACACACACACACACACACACAATCAGAGCTGATGCTGGTGAACGGCTCTTATCTGTGACAGAGCTCTCCTGAACGTCGCTCAGAGAAAAACATCAACATGACATCTTACTCAAGTACAAAATCGAGGTACTTGTACTCAACCTGAGTATTTCCATGTACTGCAACCTGTACTTAACTACATCTCAGAGGTAAACATTGTACTTCTAACTGCATCGCATTTATCTGACAGCTTTAGTCAATTTGAAAATGAAGTTTTCCACATAGTATTTCCAGATTACTTTTAAGGTTTGTAGTAAACATTGTCTATAATATGCAGAACAGAATTTGTGAACAAAGTCTGAAAAATTTCCCAAACAATATCACAAATATGTGTAAAGAGTTCCTAAAATATTATAAAAAAAAGATTACAAAAATGTCTGAAAGCGTATGTTAAATGTATTCAAAATGTACAGAAAATATGTTTAAAATGTCAGATCACTATGTGAGAAATGTCCATAAGAATACACTGGAAAAAAATGTGGAAAATATCAACAAAAAGTCATCCTAAAATAGGTGAACTATGTCTGAAGAATGTCTGATAACCTTCCAAAAAATGAGTTAAATATTAGAAAAAACTCACTGAAAAAATGTCAGATAATTATCATTTTATATACATTTGAACCAAGATACTCTATGGATGTGCACATTACATCTTCCTACTGTTTTTGTAAAGCACTTTAAAATGCCTTGTTTGATTCTTCCTATAAACCCCAGTGTTTTTTTATCCCCTCACTCGTGCATAAAGCTTCCTGTATTTCCAACCTGCTGAGATGTGATGGTTTAATCTGCGTTATGTGTCCCTTCGCTTGTTATTCGGTGTAATTCCTGGGAAATATCTTCCTCCCCGGGACGATAACATTAACATCTCTCCTCTCTTTTTATTTCCTCGTTTTTCATCGTGTGTGTGGTGTGTGTGTGTGTGTGTGTGTGTGTGTGTGTGTGTGTGTGTGTGTGTGTGTGGGGTGTGTGTGGGTGGGTGTGTGTGTGTGTGTGTGTCTGGTTTTTCCTGCAGTCTGCGTCTCCTGCTGGGTCTTAATGTCACCGAGCTGGTGGACACTGTTGGAGTGTGTGTGTTCGTGTTTGTGTGTGTGTGTGTGTGTGTGTGTGTGTGTGTGTGTGTGTGTGTGTGTGTGTGTGTGTGTGTGTGTGTGTGTGTGTGTGTGTGTGTGTGTGTGTGTGTGTGTGTGTGTGTGTGTGCGGATCTGTCATCCCCATGGTAACCCCTGCCTGGTCGCTAGGTCGGTCGCTATGGGGTCAGAGGTGCCTGGCAACAGCAGCAATTTCTGTGTGTGTGTGTGTGTGTGTGTGTGTTGTTTTAGAATTGATTTTAAAGTAGAACTGCTTTTTCTAAAGAAGGAAATATAGATTGAAGAGTCTTATAACAACAAAATGAGCTAGCATTTTGGCACTTCCTGTTCCCTCGTCTCATAATCAATGATTTTCTTCACCACGTTTTATGGTTTTGGAAATGCTATCTCCAGAAGTGAAAAGCTAATGTTGGGCTATAAAGGAACTACAGCACGGTCACATGACTTCACGTCACCACCGCTAAGCTAAAGGGTGGCTAATGTTGGGCTATAAAGGAACTACAGCACGGTCACATGACTTCACGTCACCACCGCTAAGCTAAAGGTGGCTAATGTTGGGCTATAAAGGAACTACAGCACGGTCACATGACTTCACGTCACCACCGCTAAGCTAAAGGTGGCTAATCTTGGGCTATAAAGGAACTACAGCACGGTCACATGACTTCACGTCACCACCGCTAAGCTAAAGGGTGGCTAATGTTGGGCTATAAAGGAACTACAGCACGGTCACATGACTTCACGTCACCACCGCTAAGCTAAAGGAGGCTAATGTTGGGCTATAAAGGAACTACAGCACGGTCACATGACTTCACATCACCACCGCTAAGCTAAAGGAGGCTAATGTTGGGCTATAAAGGAACTACAGCACGGTCACATGACTTCACGTCACCACCGCTAATCTAAAGGTGGCTAATCTTGGGCTATAAAGGAACTACAGCACGGTCACATGACTTCACGTCACCACCGCTAAGCTAAAGGGTGGCTAATGTTGGGCTATAAAGGAACTACAGCACGGTCACATGACTTCACGTCACCACCGCTAAGCTAAAGGCGGCTAATGTTGGGCTATAAAGGAACTACAGCACGGTCACATGACTTCAGGTCACCACCGCTAAGCTAAAGGAGGCTAATGTTGGGCTATAAAAGGAACTACAGCACGGTCACATGACTTCACGTCACCACCGCTAAGCTAAAGGCGGCTAATGTTGGGCTATAAAGGAACTACAGCACGGTCACATGACTTCAGGTCACCACCGCTAAGCTAAAGGAGGCTAATGTTGGGCTATAAAAGGAACTACAGCACGGTCACATGACTTCACGTCACCACCGCTAAGCTAAAGGTGGCTAATGGTGGGCTATAAAGGAACTACAGCACGGTCACATGACTTCACGTCACCACCGCTAATGGGTGACGTGAAGTCGGCTAATGTTGAGTCCCAATTATAAAACTGTTAGCAACTGTGCTAACTAGCAAGTCACAACAAATAAAAGCCAGAGTTTTGAAAATTCCTGCCTACAACTGAAAAATGAAACCTTCACATCTATGCAGACGACACCCACGCTTTTAATTGAGCTGTTCATATTCGCACTGCAGTATGCATTTTATACATGTATTGTATACCTGTTGTGTTTATTTTATTATCTTTGCTTTTTAATGCCTGTTGTAAAATGTTATTATATAATGTGTTTCTGCTGTATTTATTCTTAAAATGTCTTTTAATTGATTTTGTAAAGCACTTTGAATTGTCGCGTGCTGAAAGGTGCTATATAAATACACTTGCCTTGCCTTGCCTTCAGATTCCCCAGAGTTCACTGCATTTCTTGGTTTATGAATACATTTGAAAATAAATGTAATTGGGAAACACTGCCTTAATTTCAGGCTGAACAAACCTCATTTCAAATCATGCTTGATGAAGACTATAACTTGTTTAAACACTCAAGCGTGGAAGTTTTGCTAATTAAATATGTCTATTTCTGATGAGATGATTCTCTTTGCAGATCTCTCAATGAAAAGAGACAAAAGCAGACTTCCTGGTAAAATCCAAGTAAGAACACAGAGCTTTTCACATGTAGGTGAAAAAAACTCCATGAAAAACCTTCACAAACAGGACGTGCTTAAATGAAATGAAAATACATAAATAAACCTCAAGGTCTGAAGAGCTGGTCTGAAATAGACTCGAGGATAATTGGACTCCATTCAAAATGTGACGGCCCTGAACAGAGAGAAAACACTGGATGATGAAATATTATTCATCCTATTTATACCAATATCTTGTTTATTTATCTTTTCAATCGGGAATATGTGCCTTTATAGTGTGGATGATGGATGAAGGGAACAGGAAGGAAGAGGACATGTTATGAGCAGAGGGGAGTGGAAGAGGGAACTATAGATATAATGGGGAAAGTGGAAGTAGTGGAGGTAAAGATGGAGTGAAAAATGATGTACATTAAAAAGGGAGGAGGGGAAAGTAGAGGAAACATGAGAGCATTTACCATCCTCTGTCTGTTCACATTACACTTTCATCTACCAGCTCTCTGCTTCCACATGTCATCACATGATCATCCATCTGAGACAGAGCGGCTAACGTCCACAAAACACATCCAGGAAAAACAAATTCAGCATTTCCTATACAATCCTGTTGTTTGTGTTTACATTAAAAACTCGAGATACAGCATATTTAAAAGCACAGTTTGTTATTTCTGCTGCTTTGCGTCTCTGGCTATAGTATTTTTGTCATTGGATGGTGTATTTTCGTAGGCTGTCAATTAAGTTAGCATCTCCCTGAGGGCCTCAACAAAAATCCAATGGGATTTTTCCATTGGATTTTGGAATATCGCGGAAAATAAGACCTGTAGTAAACGCACATTTATAATAATAATAATATATAGGCGCGTTCACACCGGAGTACTTTTACCCGTACTTTTCCCGTTTAGTTCCGATAGTGCCTGGAATTTTGCGTTCACACCAAAAAGAGCACTTAGTTCATGAGAACTTTTACCCCCATTTTTAGTGCCTGCTAGAGAGGTGGTACTTTCCTGGACTTGAGGGCCCTTTTGAAGGCGTCAAGCGTGGGGATGTTGCGGATCTCCACAGGTAGAGCGTTCCAGAGGGTGGGGGCTGCCACACTGAAGGCTCTGTCCCCGAAGGTTCGCGTGGGGGCATGTGGGCGGAGGAGGTCCGATAAGTACTGGGGGACAAGGGCATGGAGGGACTTGTAGGTGAGGAGGAGGACTTTGTAGGTTATGCAGGACTTGACCGGCAGCCAGTGGAGGTGGATGAGGGGGGGGGGTGATGTGCTGCCACAGCTTTGTATGTGTGAGTACCCTAGCAGCACAGTTTTGAACATACTGAAGCCTGTCCAGGGTTTTGTTGGGGACCCCAAACAGAACACCATTGCAGTAGTCCAAGCGCGAGGTGACGAAAGCATGGACTAGGGTTTCTGCAACCGACTCCGAGAGTGACGGTCGGAGTCTGGCAATGTTCCTTAGATGAAACGTAACTTTTGTTTACCATGATAATCTCCACCCATTGACACTAACAGGAGGTTGTTAATGGCAGCATGGAAGAATAAATGAAATAAGTTAACAGATTTGTTTTGGCTTGAAAATTGCTGGAAACTTTTGGAAGTGCACGACTCAGATGACGGCTTGTATTAGAAAACCTATAACAAAGGTATAGTTGTGTTTTAGACATTTTAATGCAAAAGTGATACATATTTGATCTGTAATAAGCTTTACTTAGGAGCTGTTTTAGTTGGACAGAGCCATGCTAGCTGTTTCCCCTTGCTTCCTCTCTTTATGCTAAGCTAAGCTAACACAATGCACAGATGCATAAAAGTGTTGCTGAAAAACTTGCATTAGTCCTTTAAGTACAGTGACACCACAGAGTGTCTTTATTACATTATTACAGTCTTTAAATGCCTGAATTGTGCTAATTAAATCATCTCTGCATTCAATTATAAACTGCAAACCCTGCTTAGGTCAGCAGGAAACACACACTGTGCTTTTATTTTGAAGAGAAATGTGTGTGTGTGTGTGTGTGTATGTGTTATTATCCTAAATGGCCAATTTCCTCTGGGAAGTATAACTTAATTAAATACAGACACACACACATACACACACTGAGCATCTGTATGTGTGTGTGTGTGTGTGTAAGATGTCTGCATTCAGTACCGGCATGTCATGTGTATGTGTGTGTGTGTGTGTGTGTGTGTGTGTGTGTGTGTGTGTGTGTGTGTGTGTGTGTGTGTGTGTGGGGCGGGCTCATTGACAGGAAGACAGATGAAGGACAGGAAACGATGAGTATGAGCAGAGGGACAACAGTGGGTGTGTGTGTGTGTGTGTGTGTGTGTGTGTGTGTGTGTGTGTGTGTGTGTGTGATATTCGAATCCCAGTCGGACACATCAATACTGGCTGTCCACCTGACGCATGACCTTCAACCCCTGGAGGTCTAGGGGTCAAATGCATAACAGGTCACACACACACGCGCAATAGGTCGCACACACACACGGTCACACACACACACAGGTTGATGTGACACGTGATGGAAGTAGAAGTGATGTCATTCATTTTTTAACCCAACTATTGCTAATGGTAGTACTGCAGCCAGACTTTAACTTAACAAAGTGTTTTTAGGATTGATTTGAACATTTATACTTGTTTAAAAGGCTCTTAAGGTTTTTGGACCAGCCTAAATGATTAATTCTTTGTCATTTTATTATTCTTTGCAGCCTCTGCTGTCCTTTTGTAACTACAAAGTATCACATAAATTAAAAAGTTGGCAGCTCTCCACCACAACAAAGGAGTTCCCTCCCAAAGGCTTCCATTAAGATGCGAGATCTTTTAAAAAAAAGTTTTTTTTAACGTAGCATTAAACTTACCCTCAATCTTCTTTATATCAATAAAACATCATAATTCTGTGACGTCACGTGTGGAATAAAACATCCATGTAATCATGTGACTAGCACCAAATGGAAATGGCAGGTTATTAGGTGTCACAAACAAAAAAATCATACACTGTTTACGACTGAACAATAATTCAGATTGAATAACAAATATGGAGCTTCATAGTAACTCTAATGAGGCAAACTGTCAGATTAAGGTGACAGCATCTGGAGACAACACACACACCTTCAAAACCCCTTTAAAGGAAGCGCTCTACAGATTTCAGATAAACATTTCAAATCAAGTGCTTCCCACCAATATAGTCATTTACAACCACTGAAACCCACTCTAAAGCCACCTTCAGCAAATCAAGCTTAAGGTAATACTGATATTGCTTCCACTACAAATACTACTTCAACAGACTACAACAGATTCAACTACTACTAAAACGACCTCTTCTACCAGTACTGCAATACTGGTGTTTGTAGTTGTTACGACCCCCTCCACTCCACTAGGGGTCTCTGCCTTTGTGTTCTGCTGGATGGCTCTTGTTTGAGTTTCAGGTGATCAACCTGATGACGACATAAAAGGCCAACACCACTGCCCTCTCACTCTTCTGTTGGACACGGCCATGTCTTTGTTTCTGCACATTTTCACACACCCATACACGCAGTCATTACTGATGACTGACTTCCACGTTTATTAGGTTTCTTTGAAGACCTTTGGTGTTTGTTATATCGTGAATAAATACGCTTTTTGTTACACTTAACTTGTCTGGTCTCCCATCTTTGTTGCAGCCTATGAGCCAGGTCGTAACAGTAGTACTTATACTGCTGGTACAATATATGATATCAGATTAAGGTGGCAGCATCTGGAGACAACCCCACTTATCAACACACACCTTCAAGATCAACTGAGCATCCTCTATCAAAATCTAGCATTTACAACTTCAACACAAGGGCATTCCTTCAAATAATGTCACCATTCAAACCACTTATTTTACTACTATCTGTAGTCCTACTCCGACCACTTCCAAGTTATCCAGCTGAGTGATACTGACATTGCTTCCACTACAAATACTACAGTCTACAGCAGATTCAACTACTAATAAAACTACTGCTACCAGTACTGCAACTGCTTGTAGTGTATAGTATACTGCTGGTACTACAATACATGAAATGCTTTAGGACAAGAGAGAGAAGACAGACACAAAGAAAGACTTCTAACACTTTAAGTATTACGGTTATTGCCAATACCACGCACACAGAGGAATATAGCAAAACCACAGAAATCCCCATATTCATTGCCCTTTTTAAAAATAATAAGAATAATAATACATGACACTTAGTGCTTTTCTAAAAACTCAAAGACGCTTTGACAGAGAATAAAACTAAAAATGAAGAAAAATACATAAAGAGACGCAGTGCATGCTGGGTAGTGTAGTCTCACCGAGGTGTTCTGGCACTGGATGCAGGAGGAGTTGAAGCGGACTGCGGGGATGCGCTGTGTTTTCCCCTGGATGCTGAACACACACTCGTAGTTCTTCTGACCCGACTGGGGCTGAGGAAGGTTACGAGCTCGCAACGTGATTGGTCGAATCATCCCGGCCGGGACCAGGATGTCAGAGGTCGGGAGAATCTGAGGGCAGCCCTGCAGAGAGAGAGAGAAACACATACTGTGAGGAAGTTTCACCATAAGTGTTGGTAAAATACTGAATGTTCCTTTTCATTTCCTGCTTCTTCACACACATGCTCTCCAGTACAGGTTAGCTCTGAGTGTTAGCGATGCTAATGTAAACAAAGACCATATTACGTCCAAAACAGTCGGGCATTGTTTCTGATAGCAACGTTTCTGATAGGGCCGTGGGTTCACATTTCAGATATTACGTCATATCGGACGCAAATCTGGATCAGCTCCGTTGTAGCCCCGTTTTTAGAGATTTGGGTACGGAGGAAAAGAGAGAGGGTTTTATTTTCTGACGCTGCGTGAGTTCCCTGACACACCGGGGACACATATTTATGTATAAAAGACATCAAAAAGTGCATTTTGCATGATAGGTCCCCTTTAAGTTGCAACCATATTGTTTTTTTGCTGACTCGTACCAGTTTTAAATGACTGAATATATTGTGAACCTAACCTAAGTTGCACCTATAATGAATAAATTATCAATATGTATAAAAATAAATAAATGAATACAATTTAAAAATGCAATCCTTGTGCATGTTCATTTGAAAAATAATGTGTACATACAAAATACACTTAAAACAATAAAATAATAAAATGTAAGAATACAAAAAAAGTGATTTGTGAAATTAATTAATTTCCTTATCAATTATTTCATTAATTTCTTTTTACAAAGGCAGCTAAAGTCCTCCATAAAGGAATTGTGGAAAACAGGTGTATTCAAAATAAATATAAGACACTATAAAACACTGTAAAGCAAATATAAAGTGGAATAGGTCCGGTTTGTGTTTGCGTCAATGATACAAGATGCTATCATCAGCATATAAAATTAACCAGTGACCCCTTAACGTCACACAGAGACATTTCATCCATTGTTAGGATTAATTATTGATTAGACGGCCTTTAACTGGAGCCGCATCAGAAATTATTAATAACCCTTTTTTTTGTTCCTACTGTTAGCCTCTGTTTAAATGACCAGTCAATCGATTTGGAGTGACAGCAGCATACATTTAAAAACATGTGTATAATTAATAAATGGTAAAAGACACATTTAAGATTATATTAACATATATTTGTTATTGGAAAGGCTACTCTGGATTATTATGAATATATTGTTGATGTTTTTGAAAATCCCATTGTCTGTGTACTCTGTCAAACTGTAACAAAGCCGACACGAAGGTGTGTGTGTGTGTTTGTGTGTGTGTTCAGTAATGGACAGCTGGTGAAAGATCCAAACTTCCTGAGGCTGCTGGAAACAAACTCAAACTCACACACACAAATACACACACACACACACACACACACACACACACACACACAGTCTGACTGCGTCGCTCAGTGGGGTGAAACCTTTATTAACAAGCGTCACCACGGTAATTAATTGCCTTGTGACTGACAGGAAGACCATTAGCTCCACAGGAAGTGGACTAGAGCACAGCGGACGCCAGCAGCGACTGTGGAGAGTGTGTGACGAGCTGTGTGTGTGTGTGTGTGTGTGTGTGTGTGTGTGTGTGTGTGTGTGTGTGTGTGTGTGTGTGTGTGTGTGTGTGTGTGTGTGTGTAGGATAAAGGCCTACTGTGGCTGTGAGTCTTTCAGCAAATTTTCACCATTAATCCAAACACTCAGCTCACCTGCCTGACTGTCACCGAAGTGAAACCAGGTGACAGGATTTATTTTTAAGTAAGACTGAGGAAGAGGCAATATGTTCAGAGAAATTAGGAAAGTTTTGGTTAAATACTGTCTAACGAGAAACGGGTTTTACTCAAGAAGATATTCATGTCTTTGTAACGTGGAGGAAATACATTGATATCTTTCTTGGTTATTTCTCGCCATTTATCAAATTGTGGAATTAAATGACCTTGTTATGGGGGCATCTTGTTTACTTCCGGAACATAATGACATCACTGTGTTACACTCGCACTTCTATTGGCTAGCGCTCCAACACATTGTACGTGATAGGCTAAGGGGCGGGACATCTCTTTTGGAACATTTCAAACCCCAGCTGATACATTTTTTAGAGAGTTTTGAGATTTTATATTTTACCCGTCATGCAGTATTGAGTTTCTCTTAATTTCTAGGAAAATCATAATTTGCAAACACAATTAATCAGCTTTGTATTGGTGTCATATTGCATCCTTATCATCTTGATTTTGCACTAATCCCACACTGTGTGTTACGGCGTTACTCACAAGTACTTTTAAGTAAATAAAACTAACACTTTTAATGTCTTTTTTGTTATCTTTCGTGGGATGATAAAGACCAGACTTCTTACCCACAGGCTAAAAAGGTAAGATGTGACACGTTGACAATCCTTAGTTTCACAACTCACTACATAAACACTGATAAAGACATCCTCTTCAGCTTCTCTCTCCACTTACATATCTCTTTTTGGTAACACCAACTCATCTTCCTCTGAACGGCTTCATGTAAACTATTTGAAACTTGTGTAAAATAAATAACTCTGCTCTAAAAATACGCTTTTTCCACTGTGTAATGTTAACTCTTTCTGCTCTGTCTCTCCTCTCTCGGACGGATCCTTTTTATTGTAGCTTTAAATAAACAGATAGTCAGAGCAGCTTCTCTTTGACTCCCAAAAACATTTACTTTTATTCTGAAAATCTCTCCTTCTCCCTCCTTCTCTCTCCTTCTCCCTCCTTCTCTCTCTCCTTCTCCCTCCTTCTCTCCTTCTCTCCTTCTCTCTCTCCTTCTCTCTCTCCTTCTCTCTCCTTCTCTCTCCTCCTTCTCTCCTTCTCTCTCTCCTTCTCTCTCCTTCTCTCCTTCTCTCTCCTTCTCTCTCCTCCTCTCTCCTTCTCTCTCCTCTCTCCTTCTCCCTCCTTCTCTCTCCTTCTCTCTCCTTCTCTCCTTCTCTCTCCTTCTCTCTCCTCCTCTCTCTCTCTTCTCCTTCTCTCTCTCTCCTTCTCTCTCCTTCTCTCTCCTTCTCTCTCCTTCTCTCTCCTTCTCTCTCCTTCTCTCTCCTCCTCTCTCCTTCTCTCTCCTTCTCTCTCCTTCTCTCTCCTTCTCTCTCCTTCTCTCTCCTTCTCCCTCCTTCTCTCTCCTTCTCTATATCATGAGTCTCTTTCCTCCACTCTCAAACTAACAACCCTCTCATCTCCCGCTCTCTTTAGTCAGCCTAATTGCTTGGTAATTAAAATTAATTGCTGTGATTGGACGCTTTCATGTCAATTAAGTGGCTATTCATCTTCTATTAGCAAATTAGCCAATCAGAGGTTGTTACTGTCACCCTGCAATGACACCGAGCACCAATCACGTCCACGAGACCCCCCGAACAGAGCTCTCCACCGCTAACGAGCTAACGAGGTGCTCGTTAGAGGTGATCAGTTCCTGACAGGTGAACCTATCGGCTGCTACAGGTTACTCTGCACACCGCTCTTTATTTGTCTCATACTGCCTGTGCTGCAGCACCTCTTTTCACCCTCTGTCTGAAACCAGAGCCCAGTCTGCTCTGATTGGTTAGCTGGCCGGCTCTGTTGTGATTGGTCAACCGCTTAGAGATGTCCCGCCCCTTAGCGTATCAGGTACAATGTGCTGGAGCGCTAGCCAATAGAAGCATGAGGGTTACGTAGTGATGTCATTATGTTATAGAAGTAAAAATAAGGAGGAGGAAGATAAACAGGTAGGGATTTTAGCCTTTGCAGATCATTGACATGCACTAAAACCTATAGAACACACTACTGGAGAGGGAACACCACAAAAAGCAGGATAGGGCCCCTTGAATCACTTCCTGTCTTTAATTGCACCAGGTGAGAACACTTTAAATAATTTGGGTTTTATGATTATGTTGTGAAACAGAACTCCTTCACACAGCAGGAGATCCAATTCACTTAAAAAGCAGGAGTTGTTTTAATGATAATGATGATGATTATTAAACCTAAATACTCTTCACTTGATTGCTCTTCAGTGAAAACAAGACTGTACTTTCAATACCAATAGGAAACGGTGCTTTGATGCAAAAAGTAACTCTGGATTTGTTTTGTTGTTTGAGGTGTAATACACTACGCAGCAGCTTTGAAGACACCAAAGTATAGTACTGGTTAGCGTTGCTCTCATCTTTACTGTCTGTACTTTGTTTAGTTTTTTATCAAATCATTGATTCAGACAGTAGTTTCATTGCAACTCTATTAAAGAAATGAACATTCAGAGACCTGCTGGACATCGTTTTTGGTTGAATGTATAGCAGCAAGTATTTAACCTGTTAAGCCCTGAGCCTGTTTTTCAGGTCTCAGGCTCGAAAATGACATTCCCAGAACAAATGATCCATATCTTCCCTTCTAAAAGGGTTAAATTAATAATCTTTTTTCTCAAAGTAATGATAAACCTGTGAGTTGGATGTAGAAAAGTCAGAATCAATATAGATGTTTTTTATTTTAAAGAAAATTCAGATTTTACATAGTAAAAAACTGTAAATGATAGTGTCCGTCCAACATTTCTTTTTTACTTATAGTGAAAACTACCCTTGGATGATGGGTTAGTAGACTAAAAGCTTTAGGAATCCAAAGTACAACATATAATAAGTACCCTGTATCAAGATTGATGCAAAACAAATGACATGTGACCTTTTTAGAGAGATTTAGCAAAAAGTCATTTGGGTGGATTTTCCATATCTCTGGCCCCCCTTGCTCGATTTTGATGGTTGACACCTCTTTCTGACCGTTAGAGCCAATAGAATCGAAGGGGGAGTCCCCCACACACACTCATTGTGAAGAGAAGAGGTGGGGGCTTCGCGCATGTAATTTTGCATCAGAGTGGACCTATCTCTAGCTTTGACATCTGGAAACGGAAAAGCAGTTTTATTGCTTATGGATTATCAGAAATAATTTCAAAGGGACACAGAAACATTAGATTAACATATGGATTAACTTCAGCAGCGTTGTTATCGTTTTAATGCCATTGAAGACCACTTTTGACCAGACTACGACACAGGTAAGCCATGTTAGCGTTTCTAGCTA